TGAGGGAAAGGGTAAAAATATTTATTTTGTAAAATACCGCTTGACATTGAATGAACTTACAGCATCCATTAGCTGTTGTATTTCATATTCACTAAGCTTGGATCCCAATTTGGTCAATCCAGATTTGAGTTCCTCGTATGTGATTGTGCCACTGCGATCAGTATCCATATTGTTGAACATTTGTTTCAAGCCCTTGATTTCCTCCTCTGAAAGGTTTTCTGCTATAACCTTTTATATATAAAATAAATAAATAAAATCAATTACTAGAAGGATACTCACTACTATTTTATTTTCTACCTTCTCTTTTTCTTGTTGTATCAGGTAAGTGTAATTGATTTTTATTCTAAAATTTGTACCTAATCAACCAACCACACCCAACACTACTTAAATTTTGCAAGGCATTTGAACATCTATATATTATTCAAATTTCATGCAATACTGAATTTTTTTTTGAGGTACCTTTAAAGCAAGTTTCTTCATTTTGTTCATAGCTCTAAACTGTTTCATCCTAGTTAAAACAGCATTGTCTATAGGCTTGTCAGATGCTTCACCACCTTCCTTCATCCACGGGTGTTCTGGTTCAAATGAGTAATGTCAATAATCTTCATAATTAAATTAAGTTTGTAAGCATGAACACTGAAAATGATTTTTCAATTGGTGGCCGCAAAGTGATTTATCATTTGAGCAATGGGGTGATGACCGATAGCATCTGCTATTTGTAGAGTTTGCAAAATTATCAGAATGTCAGTGGATGAAACAGAAAACACATTGACATACTATGGACCTGTTTGGCTAATTTCTGGAAGTACTTATAGGTGAGAAAAATCACAAGTAAATTTAAAATAAACTAATACACAAACTAATTTGTAAAAATCCCTCTTATTAGTTTCTCAAAAATCTTATTTTTAAGCTGTTGGTAATTAGATTTAGTTTAAAGAGTCTGTTAAGATACAAGCTTCTAAATATTTTTGAGAATTTTTTTACTAAAAACTATTCTTCATTTCAATTCTTAAAAATGCTTATAACTTATATCCAAACAAACTCAAATAAATTTATTTTGATAGTTTTCTTCCTAAAACTGCATATAGAGAAATTTATCCAAATAGATGTTATTGTACTTACTGTTAAGACAAGCAATGGGCAGCGGAAGCATAAAACATACAAATCATAAAACAGAGAAGAGGAAAGGTTAGGGAACAAAGTAATTTCGTATTTGCTGAACAACCATACCATTCTACTTGTTTTTCATTCATATATAAGGCAAATACATGAAAAAATGACAGCCATACATAGAGTCTATAAATGCTGTCAGTAAAACACATTTTCCCACCATTATTAATTTGTTATATTTTCCTAAAATCATATACCTAACGATATATTATCTACGTCACTAAGCAAACAGAATTACTACATGACTTTACCCACTAATACAAGCAACCATAATTAATTATAGCAATAAAAACTAAATGAAAAGTTTTACTGCATTAACACTTACCAAGGGCTTCAGCAGCTGTAATGCGCTTCTTAGGGTCATAATTCAACATTTTCCTGATCAAATCTTTTGCAGCAGCTGAAATAGAAGGCCATGGTGCGCTCTCCAGGTCAAGCTTGCCTCCCAAAATAGAATCAAATATGCCTTTCTCGTTCTCTAAAATTGTCCCATACTTAACGTCATTAAACCAATTCAAATAATTCCAAAACAATGAGCTGAAACAGAACACGTGAAGGAAGAAAGAAACTGAAATAATGACGCACGTTCAATTAGTGTTCGATTTTTAAAGAGACATTAAAACTTTCCATATAGTGCGAACAGGGTAGCTCTCAGGTCTCAGCTGCAACTACTTTTGCAATTTATTGATCACATACTTAATTTAACCAGCACAAAAGACTATAGAATTCCAAATGATAATTTTAAATTAATTTGCCCAAGAGTCATACATGATTACATTATACTTACCAGCCCAAAATGGAGGCACCCCACTTAGAAGGATGTATAAAATGATTCCTGCGCTCCACACATCTATCTCCTTTCCATAATTCCGTTTTAACACCTCTGGGGCCACGTAGTATGCACTTCCAACAATTTCTTTATACACTTTACCTGTAGAATTCCATATTATTTAGTACAATACAACTAATAGATTTTCTCACACAAATTCTAAAATGCACTTGTATCAAATTTCACTTCTGTGACGAAATTTGCTAGTTTGCTATTCCAGTGCCATAGCCAAAAGAAGCATAACATATATTAATAGTCAATTTTTCTGCCACCCCACTGGGGAAAGCCGTTTCCACCGCCAGCAGTTAGTTTTTATTAACCATCCATCATATTCAATTAAGAAATGATTAGGGGACACTTAACAGGAGAAATAGACAAAGTTATGAAAATGATAGGTGATATATAATACAATAAGAAAAGAGAGATAAAAAATATAAACATTAACGAGGTGTTTAGAGTAGAGACTCCTGTTATCATTATTTTAAACAAATAGTTAATCTAAATAAAATCCAACTCAAACCTTTTAAATAAGGTTTCTGACTTGTATTTTGTGAATGATAAAAATGTAATTAGCGAATAGGCTTCATTAAAAATAATTAGTCAAATTTTTTTGATGAAAATTAATTATTGAAGATATTTTATATTATGATTAAAAATAAAATTGTTAGTGGAATTTGAATCAAATGATTTGTGTTAGCTGCCACTCACACGCAAGGGTCTATTAGCAACAGATGACTTGGCTTCTTGTCTCTGCTTTTCCTCTGTTGCCCCTTTTTATAATGGGAAACCGTTTACTCGGTTGACTTGTCATTATCATATACGAGATCGTTTACTTGGTTGACTCCATGTCCCATAATAGTAATTGACTGAGTCATATAGGCCCATGATGCAGTCTTCATCAAAACTATTAACAACTAATTCAACTCAATAACATTACGGCAAGCTAAGTAACAATTAAGTCATCCCACTCTGAAGCTATCTATTTTCATTTTTCTTTTTATTCTTTCGAGCACAGTGCCTAATCTAAAGTTGGAATCCAACAAATCTCAAGCCAGACGGCAACGTTTCGAATCCTTTTACTAAAGGAAAAACGAAAAAGAAAAAGGAGAAGCAATATGAACATGAATCCACAATACACTTTTCTTCCATCAAAATTAGAATTTTATTTCAGTAATAGACATTCACGTTTAATAAAACCATTTTTTATGCATGAAATTTTAATTTTAATTAGGGAATAAGGTAACCATACTTATAATATTATATATAATAAAATAAAAGAATTTGTTCTAACATGAAAAATACTTAGAAGAGTGGTCATGTCCAAAACACATTAAATAGATTACACTTTTGAGTGTTGTGGACATGAATGATCCTAGACTCTTTTAAGTGTTTTTCATGTGAGATAAGAATTAATGTAGAATGAAGAGAAGGCATGACCTTCTTCAATGAAGACGGACAATCCAAAATCAGTGGCTTTCAAAGGTGCTTGAGGATGCTTACTAGCAAGCAAGAAATTTTCTGGTTTGAGGTCCCTATGCATGACCCCCATGAAGTGGCAAGCATGAACGACATTGACGATTTGCCTGAAAATGGAAGCAGCTTCACTCTCCGAGTAACTACCCTTGGTAGTGATGCGATCGAAAAGCTCACCCCCCAAACACAGCTCCATCACCAAATGCACGTTCTGCCAGTCCTCATAAGCACCCTTGAACTCAACGATGTTGGGTTGCCCCGAGAGGTGTTGAAGGATCAGAATTTCCCTCTTAACATCGTCGATTTGCTTCTTTCGAGTTAGCTTCCGCTTTGGAATGGACTTGCAGGCGTATTTCCTTCCCGTGGTCTTCTCCGTGCAAAGACTAGTGATTCCAAATTGACCCCTTCCGAGTTCTTTCTCCAGCGTGTAAAGCGCTTTGACGTCGAAGTATGGTTTGTCCAATATTTGAGGACCCAATGATGATTGCCTCGCCGTGGAAGGCGAAGGGTCTGAGTTTGGAACACGGTAAGGGTAACGAGGTTGATGCTCATGGTGTTGGTTTTGGGTTCTACGAGGTGGTGGTGATTCAAAGGTGATTGGTATTTGGTTGTTGCGGGGTTTGCTGAAGCAGTGCCCCATCAGGAATGTGTTTGTGGGGAGATTGCTGTGATTTATGAGATTTTCAGGTTCTCAGTTCTGAGTTCTGAGGTGGAAAGAAAAAAAATAAATAAAACAGAAGCAGCCTATGCTTTCTTTCAATTTATGCTTTGCTTTTCCTTTTGGGTTGGGATGGTCCTCACCTCACTCACCCAAAAAAGCATCATTCCTCACTTTTTGTACGCAGTACGCGTTCTTATAGAGAGAGACTCGTTTGGTTTTATAAGCCTCTCCCACAATCCAGAAATTATGGGATAATTCTGTAACACATTTTTTATTTTACATTAATCAAATATTATTAAAGGGAGGAAGCTAATGGAGTTAGATTTTCTTATCAAAATATCGTCTCTTTTATTCTTTTATCATATATCATATTCATAACTTTATTTATTTACTTTTTGTCTCTATTTTTCATTTTGAGGTGTTACTGACTTCCTTAAAATTATTGAATTCCATTGTGCGAAAATAAGACTCGGGCAGGTATAATTTACTTTTTTTTTTACTCAGTTTATTGATATTTAATTTTTTTTTATTTCATACCAATGTTTTAAGATTTTATCTTAGACTAATTTAATTTGGTGAGAAAATAAGTAAAATTTGATTAAAAATTATTTTTGTTAAGAATCAAACTTTGATATTATCGAAATAATTTGACCTTAGTTTCATCATATTAGAGTGTGTTTGGTTTTCAGTTTGGGAGAGGCAAAAGTACGTTCATTTGGAAGCTTCCTCTCACATACTTCTTCGTTTAGTTGTCTAAAAATGAGTGCTATCAATAAAACGAACACACACTTAATCACTTGTGTCTAACTTCTTCATTATTATACTTAATGAGTTATGCTGAAATTATATATTAAATAAATTTATTTATCATTTAATATTTATATGTTTGAAATAAAAATCATTAAATAATATGAAAATAAAAAGGTAATTTAATAAATAATTAAAAAAACACTTATTATTCACTTTGAACTTATTTAAACACAGAATTATGACAGGTTAGAAGAACATATACTTTGGTAGGTTCCATCACAGTCTCACGGCATAAGGTACTAGCGAAGTGTTTCCATTCACTTCCAACTAAATGAACACCGATGCCGCGTTCCACAACCAAAACATATATCGTAATTTTTGTAGTGCGTCGTTTACGAATATTTTCGATTTGACTCCATGTAGCAAGTCAACATACACGTAAATCACATGACACATTATATTCTACGATCTATTTCTAAAACGAAAGAAAGAGACTCCACTTTTGTCCATAATTATTTAAATCTAGTCATCGGGATGGTCCTCTACTCTCCGTGTTTTCCCCACTTCTACTTTATTGTTCAAACAATCCATAATTTTTGTGTTTAATTGCAATTTTAATTTCTTTCCCTTATATATACAGCAAGTACTTTTCCAATTTTATAATTAAATTTTAATATTTTATGATCTTATTAATTTGTTGACTATTAACATAAAATCAATGATAATAATACGTCATAAAACAAAATATTATACACCCATTCAAACAATCAACTAATTGAGTAATGAAATATGTAAATTCTTAAATGATAGTGACAAAATATATGGAGATAAAACTCATGAAATAGTAAAAATAAGGGGGGAAATAGAATTAAAATAAAAGGTAATTGTTAGGGTGACGAAAGCAAGATGCAAAGATGAACTAAGGAGGGGAAAAAAAAGAAAAAGAGAGAGAGAAGATTGAGATTTGAGACTAACCTTCCTCGATGAAAATGGAGAGTCCAAAATCAGTGGCTTTGACTGCGGCATCGGGGTCCTTAGTAGCGAGCAAGAAATTCTCGGGTTTAAGGTCACGATGCATGACGCCCATGAAATGGCAGACGTGAACGACGTTGACGATCTGTCTCATGACCGTTGCGGCTTCGCGCTCGGAGTAGTTCCCCTTGGCAATGATGCGGTCGAAGAGTTCCCCACCACTGCACAGCTCCATCACGAGGTGCACGTGCTGCCTATCCTCGTACGCCCCTCTGAACTCCACAATGTTTGGTTGCCCCGAAAGATGCTGCAGAATCATGACCTCTCTTCTCACGTCCTCCATCTCCTGCGGACTCAGCAGCTTCCCCCTCGGAATCGACTTGCACGCGTATTCTCTTCCCGTGCGTTTCTCTATGCACAGATAAGTCACGCCGGATTGCCCGCTACCTAGCTCTTTCTTCATCTCGTACATTTGGTTTATGTTCACGTACGGTTTTCCTAGGATTGCTCCTATTTGTGTTGAGCTCGTGTGTTTCGGAGCTGAAGCTTGAGGCCTTGCCTTTGCTTCTCTTTTCCTAGGGCTTGCTTCGGGAGAGGACTCCCACGTATCTTCGATCGAAATTTCATGGGGCTTGTTGCAGCAAAACAACGCCTTGAACAGCCCCAGTCCCATTCTATGCTCTTTTTTTATTTTTTTTTTATTTTATGATTTGTTATATCTATCACATTCATGCGTGCGCTCCTATTTATATCATTGACTAGTGTTGCACATTTTTTTTGTGCTTTTCTTGTTAACTTGGATTAGTGGCGAGAGAATATAATAATCTGTACGCTTGGTTTAGTGGTGTAGCTTTGTGGATTGGAACCGATTCCATTACTCTTCTCTTGGTATTGGTACGAGCAGGAGTAGGAGTTGGGGAGAAAGACTTGCATTTCGTTGAATGTCATCAACGCTTCGCATCTATGTATGTACGCCTTCTTGATTCTTACTTAGGACTCTCCTCATATGGGCCTTCTTTCTTCACCTACGTGAGTCTCAAACCACTGTGCTATCTATTCTCCATCTTCTATGGTTATCGAGGTCCAACTATAGGCCATAACCTCTTGTGGCAGTGAGTGTTAGAGAAAGTGTTATTTGCGCTCCTCATGATATAAGAAATATTAGTATAATTGTTACATGTTCTGAAAAATCCTACTCCTACTCATACTAAGTTGAAGTCCAACTAATAGAAAACGGTTGATGTCTTGTGCTTCCTTTCAGTTATGGAGATTATGGATGTATTTGGTTATCTATTTTTATTTTTACTTTTCAATACATAAAAGTCAAAAATAACGAGATTATTATTTTAAAATAAAAATGAATTCAATTCAATTCAATTTTTATCCAAACATATAATTGTAGTGATATACTATCCTCTTAGTTAAAGAGTAAAGCAGTTCACTTTTCTTTTTCATAAGTCAAGATTTATTGAAAGGGAGTACAAAAATACTCCGGCCTTTGTAAATCAATTTAAACAGAGTTCACTGGTAATCCTAACTACATTGCTTTATTCGGTCTAAGGGGTTAAAAAATTAAGGCAGCAGTTTCAAATTAGCAAGCCCATCATTTAATCAAAGCAAAGCCTCTATTTTTTTTTTAATATTATTCATATTACGGTATAGTCACATAGTCCAGTAAAGTCAAAATCTGCCATGCATGATTCAAGAACCCAATGTTGTAGATAAGTCTTATCTATTATGCAAGCACAGGCCCAGCACACAAAACACACGCTTACATTTATTAATAGAAAACACAAATTAATATTATTTTATCAAAAAACATATAAGTATTCAGAGTCTCTTTCTCTACGAGTCTCAGAGAGTGTGATAAGGCCCAAGATCATCATGGCTCACTAGAACCACTGGCCCATGAAGAAAAAAGGGGCCCAAAACCATGGATTGTGTATGAGCGGAGGAAGAAGAAGAATGCTGACAAGGCATGAGGGTTATTCGGGGTTGTTAGAGGAAAGAGAGAGAATATTGTGGTTTATAGAGAATCACACTTGATGGGCAGGGATTCGGTTATATTGTTTTACTATTGTGGATAGAGAACCTTGTTGGTTGTGCTATTAGGAGCTTGGCTCTTGGCAGAGGAGATTTCCCTCTTCTGAGTTTTCCTTTCTTACGAATTCCTTAAATACAATATCCACCATTATATCAAATACTATTTTCTTATTCATTTCTGGTTTGTTGGTTATTTTGTTTGGTATCTATTAATTGGTCTGACCTGCCAGATTCATCATGGGGACTTTGAATGCCACCGAAGAAGAAAGGAAACCAATCGAAATTGGAGGAACCAGCGACTGAAGAATATATGGAAGCGCGAATGGGACTGATGGAGAGTGAAATGGCTTGGATGCAAGTGTCTTTGGAGGAACTTCAGGAGACGATGAGACGAGAAGCGAAGGAAACACAATCGAAGCTCATTGAGCTTTTGACTCGTCATTTCGACAAGCATTCCGATGATGAGGGAGAGGTTTTGGTAACAAAGGAAGGATCATCTAGTGGGGGAAAGAAATCGGGAGTGAGTGCCGGAATGAAACCTTTGGAGGGAGAAGCTCTTGATGAATTTCGTCAGTCGGTGAAGAAGATCGAACTTCCTTCATTTAATGGGGAAGATCCACCTGGGTGGATATCTCGGGCGGAGATTTATTTCAAGATACAAGAAACTAGTAAGTGGTGCGTGTGAATCTCGCTCAGTTGTGCATGGAGGGTGGAATGATCCATTTTTTCAATGCATTACTGAATGATTACGAGGAGCTTACATGGGATGATTTGAAGAAGGAGTTATTGGATAGATATGGGGGTTTGGACGAAGGCAGTGTGTTCGATCAACTCACGTCGCTGAAACAGACTGGAACCATTGAGGAGTACATCCAGACTTTTGAGAGATTGGTAGCACAGGTACCCAGATTACATGATGACCAATATTTTTCCTATTTCACCCATGGGTTGCGCGAAGACCCTCGAGCCCGCCTCAGGAGCTTGCACGTGGTGGTTCCATTGACAAGGGGAAAACTGATGAATGCTGCCAGAGCAGTAGAGTCAGAGATTGGAATGAGAAATAGAGGGTGGCAGAAAAAAGCAATAAAATTTGTTTAGATTGCCCTATTTTTATTGGTGATAGAAAATTTCTTGTAAATTTGATCTGCTTACCTTTATCACAACTGGATGTGATTTTAGGTATGAACTGGTTATCTTCCAACCATGTGTTTCTCAATTGTGCTGAAAAGTCTGTAAGGTTTTCTGATTCTAAGGACCTATCGATTTCATTATCCAAACCAATAAGCAAGTTTTCTTGGGGTAAAGTTCAAGGATATTTAATCTTATCTTCTATGGAAGCTAAAAAGGAAGTCGACTTGAAAAACATAGCTGTTGTTTTGAGCATATTGACCAACCTTTCGACCCGTAAAAACTGTGCCTTGATCAGT